AAAAAAAAACGACTCTTCGCCAACAAAGCAGTTTCGTTATTATTTATTATTTGAGTACTAACTTTTTTTGGCGTTGAAATAAATTTTCATAAATCCTCCTGTCATTTTCATAATTTTAATATTTACAACTTACGAATTACCACCCAGTGTACAACCAACTGCTAACCGCTTCTTCTTCAGCATTTATCGCAGTCGCCCAGCCCCCAGCCACAGCGGGTTGCCATAGCCACTCGTTTTACAGCGCATAATTATAATTGGAAAATTGTACGCGCTCAACTATTTAAACACTAATTAAGCGCCGCGCATGATAATCCGTCAGCATTTGAAAGAGCGTATGGCCACGAACAACTCGAGTATATACAAAGTGTTTTCGGGTAGGGGACGGAAATACGACAAATACTCGCTATTCTAAATAATCAAAACGGTACTAATTTTAATTACCTTCCACTGTCTATCTGTTGCTGGCGTCAACTGTCGCGCAACACTGGCCATTGCGTGCTTTGTTTGTGTGGCTAATTGCCGAAGGAGATGGAATAGCGAAAGCTAAAAGTTACCTGGTGGCATTACACTTCCACCTTTTGTCCCATTTACTACCTGCACTTACGGAATTTCTCTACTATACAAAATCAATTGTTTCCTGGGTGTGTTAAGTACTCGTACTTTCGGCCTATTTTCTCGCAGCGCTTACAGGTACTAAATATAGGGTGATGCAGAAATTTGACAGCAATTATTTATTAATTTTTATATTTAATTTTTTTTTTTTCAAACAATTGGTCTACAGGCTTTGGCAAACTTATGCATGGAGCGATACTCAGTTGAACAACGCGTAAAAAAGATCCACACGTTTTATGAAAAGATTATCAACAAGTCAATATTTGGTGTAGTTTTTGGGCAGGCGGAGCCATTGGACCGTACTTCTTCGAACAGGATGTCGGTAACGCTGTTTCGGTAAACGGAACGTGTTATCGTGACATGATAATAAATTTTGTACGGCCTGAGTTAGATGAGACGGTTGTGGACAATATGTGGTTTCAACAGGACGATGCCACTTGCCACACAGCGCATGAAACAATCGCACCATTGTGAACGAAGGTCCCACGAGGCATTATCTAACAAAACAACGATGTCAAATGGCCGCCGATATTTTACGATTTGGCACCATTGGACTTTTTTCTTTGGGGCTACGTGAAAAGTATGGTCTATGACAAATAATAATAATCCTGAGAAGATTCCAGAGCTGCAGAATGAAATCATACGTGTTTCATATAATAGAAAATGTGCGATCTTATTGAATCACCCTGTACTATTCACAAGTCGTAAGGCAATGTGTTTGGTATTACCTTTGTTGACTGCCGCAATTGTTGTCGTTGCCTGCCGGTGAGACCTATTCTGTTTTTAGTTTTGTATCGCAGTGATCCTGCGGCTTTTGTCTTCCTCCACTTGTTTGTTTATGCAAATATTCGTTGGCGACACAATCCAGTTACTTCATATTTAAGTACAACTGCACTTTGTAATGGCTGAATAATGGGCGCGTCTTGACATGACGGCATAAAACAAAATAAAAAGACTAGGCAAAAATATATATGTAAATAAAACAAAAAGAAAAGTACACAAAAAAAAAGTAAGAAGGAACTAAAGGATATTCTGTGGTTGATGAAAATA